GCACAGGCAGTCCCGCCCACTCCTCACTTCGGTGCACTCTGACTGTCCATGCATAGCGACAACAAATCTCCAAGGCTGACTGTCAGGCAGTGAAAAGTAAGGCGATCTAGGAAGTGCAGCCCAAGTCACAGCCCCCCAGAAAGCCTGCAAAAACCCTACAGAAACCCTACAGCAAAGGAACACTTTTAAATGACGAAAACTAGCATTTTGCTGCAAGCCAAAGCCGCTTTTCCTGTTTTGAGGTCCTAGAGTTGGTGACAAAGGCCAAGAGAGCACGTGCAATTCTCTCCCATTTATGGGACTGAAATGAAGACTTAGCAGAAGTCTGGGGGCAGTTAGCCAGCACCCTGTGGTAACAGTGCGCTCTGGCTGTGTCTCCCTGTGCTAGGGCCACCCTCGGTACTCAGTGCAATCACACACCTGTCGCTTGTAGATTTTAATTTTAGAATGCATGTGCAGGACAGGGCCTTGACCCTCGACCTTGGGCTCTAGCACCGAATCTTCCTCTCTGAGCGCCTGGGAAGCATCAGTTTTCCTGGTGGATGAGCAAGTCTCTCTTTGAAGCTGATTTTGTTTGACATTTGGAGGATTAGCCCGCCTGATATTTGCCCTCTTCCCGTGGCTGTCCGTTTAGTGGGTGTTCTTAGGAAAGCCATGTGGTTTTCTGAGTCTGCAGCAAATGCCACCTCTCCTGGTGGAGGCGTGTGATGACTGACTGCTGATGACTGACTGCGGGAGGAATGCCGAGGTTGTGGAGGGATGTGATGGGATGTCATAGTCGTGGGTTATGAACTCGCAGGCAGGGAACAGGGGAGAGAGAGCTCACAGCACTGCGGAAGGTCAGACCTGTCAGCCTGGACCACAGCAAAGAAGACAGCCAGTGGAGAAGTGGAGAGGCAGAAAGCAAGAGCCTGTGGAGGCCGCTGTCCTCTCAGAGGGGACTGGACAGGCAAAGAGCTCAAGAGGCCATGGAGAGAAGGGGAGGGGGAGGGAGGGGGAGGGAGGGAGAGAGGGAGAAGGAAAAGGGAGCAGGGAGGGAGGGAGGGAGGGAGGGAGGGAGAGAGAGAGAGAGAGAGAGAGAGAGAGAGAGAGAGAGAGAGAGAGAGAGATCACTTACAGGTCAGTCTTGTGAACACACCTCAACAGTTCACTTCATAGACAACCTGTGGGTCTGCTCTTTGTCCCCAAGGAATCTTTTAGTTAGGATTCCCGTGGAATCCAGCATGGTGCATTTCACAAATGTATACGTTTAGGATTTTCATTTCTTACTTCCTGTTCCTACTTGGCACAAGCCTTTGAAGTTAATTGTAGAGTCTATATCTAAAAGCCTAATTCAGCGCCAGCTGTCTGAGGTACTTCTCCAGGAAGCTGCACGGAGCAGCAACAGGAGAGGTGGGGACGTTGAGTCACTGGGTTTTCTTAGGTCCCTCTCAACCTCCACCCCTCCTCTTAGCTGTTCTTGATAGGATAGGCAATCCGGCAAGGCTTGGAGGACTCACAGCATGATGGCAAGGCAAAACCAGGAGCTTCAGGCTCAAGGATTCCAAGATAAAGGAATGGTTTTAACTGCATGTATGAGTGCAGAGAGTGGGGTGGCCAGTTTTACCTGAGGGATACACAGTAAAACCCAGGGCACATGTCTGGGTGTTTCTAGAGAACGTTAGTGCATGGATATGAGCCGACTGAGGAAGGCCCCAGGGCGTGTCATCGCTGGGCAGGCCTGGGGTGGGGTGGAATGAGGAAGCAGGGAGGAGGGTGGCAGGGTCTCTGGGTGTGTAGAGGTGCTCGCTGTGCAAGTCGGGGAACCAGGGTTTGCCGGGCTGGAAGAAGTTGTCTTTTGACTTCTACCGTGTGCCGTGGTACGAGTGTGCCTGTGTACTCTCCCTTTCACACACATAAATGACAAACAAACAAGGTCTTAACGTGGAAGGAGGGGCTGGCGCTTCATGAGCTACTTTTCTTGCTGCTGCGGCCGCCTGCGGATGCCAGCTTCTTCCGGGTTTGCCTGTGGACTCGAGCCAGCAGCTCCCCGGGAGGCATCTAGCATTGCTTTCCCTTTCTAAGAGGATGCAGCTTCTTGGCCCAAGCAGCTTCTTTGGCTCTTGAGCCCAAGGGCAGCTTCTGTGGTGTGAGCCAATCAAATAAACGTATTCGGATAATCCTCTTTCCTATTGGTTCTGTTTCTCTGGAGAGCCCTGACTCACACAGAAGGCAACTGGACCTGGTGAGAATCCCAAGGCTGTGCAAGGGCTCAGAGTCCCCACCGGACAAGTCTTCTCCCTTTCAAAGTCACAGGCGTGAGCTCAGCCGCAGCGCGCCCACTCTCCTCCTCGCCACCCCCTTCCTCTGTCTGCACTAACGCCATTTCGTGATGAAAGAGGTGGAGAGATGGGAGGTGGGACCACCGTGTACCTGCCATAAAGAACAATTTACGCTGGATAACGCGACTCCTTTCAGCCTTGTCGGCCACCCTCCAATTTATTTGGTTTCTCTCAGTCCACGGCGGCTGTACAGCCTTGGCAGCCCTTTGTTTCATCGTGGGTCAGCCCACCTAATAGGGACTCGGGGATGCAAGCAAGAAGAAACAGCCTGCTGGCCTGTTAGGCCCACGTTCATTTACTGGCTATCTTCTGAGCCAGCCATTGAATTATACAATGCCAGGGCTGGCGGAGACCTAATAAATTGTCAGTTGACCCCATATTTTACAGGTGAAGCATTTACACGGAGAGGTTAAGTGCTTGCCTAAGGTCCTCCAGCAAGGCTATGGTCAGACTCAGATCCCCTGTCAGACAGTACACCATGCGTCCCGCCCCACCCGGCCACAGGCGAGGCAACGATGACACATTAGTTTATCCTGGGCATAAACCGGAGGGACAGACACACACTTGCCCTCAGTGCTTTAAATTAAACAAGAAGTGCCCTGGATGGTGACAAGGCAGACACTGGACACTGTCTATAGGGTGAAATTGGGAGGGAAGGATGTAAATGCTTTCTTCAGAATGGTGACATGTTAGGGAAATGAAGGAGATAATTGGAGGAGGGGCTGTGCTCCCTTGTTTTGTGTGACTATATCGTGATGCTACAGATTTTATTAGGAAAACAAGTTTACTTCTTATATTTCTGGAGGTTGAAGACCCCATTTCTGGGGACGGTTTAGTGCTCTGTTGTCGCAGATGGCGGAAGGTCAGACACCCTGGGACAGCAAGGGCCACAGTCATTTTCATAACAAACCCGCCTTCTTGATAACTAGCCAGGTCCCTTGATCACGACATGAGTCCATTGCTAAGCACCCCTGGCTGTCCCCACCTCCAGTCACGGTTGCTCTGAGAGTGAAGTTGCCAGCAGGTAAACTCTGAGGCCACACTCACACCCCAGCAGGGAAGAAGGGACTTCTATTGATCCTGCTTCCCTGCCACACTTATTTAATCCTCATCCTTATCCACTTCTTTTTCCTTGACAGGCTCACCTCCTTATTTTCATACCACACAGAAAACCAGGTACACGCAGGCTTTGGAACCAGCTATTTCTGATGCAAGATAACACAGAAAGCTTTGAATCCTCCAGTGAAGCTGACTAGAACATCTGGCACCAAACACCTATGTTTGCTCTTTGGAGGAAGCATGCCACGATCTGCATTTGCTGATTATAAAACAACATAGGAGTGAAAATGGGTTGACATTTTGAGAACAAGGAAACGATAACCAGAATACCACTTTCTTTGTTATTGTTGTTTTCAAGTCAAAACCTTACAATAAAAGATCATAGGACACTGATTAGTGGCACTTGCAGTAATTGATTATTTATAACTGACTCCTAACTACTTACAAGTGCCAGTTAACCAAGCTACTAATTTCCTCTTGACAGAGAAGATGGGGATAAGCACATTAGAATTTAATTCTAAAAATATGCATGCAATAAGTTATTTGAAAGAGAAAGCATTTTCACTTCTTTTTCTAGAACTTGCTAATGCAACTATGTGCTACTCCAAGTTGCCCGCGGGGCGCTCGCCAGCTGGGAATCGTCTGGAGGTATTTTGTAATGCTGGAAAGCTTATATATTTCAGAAGGAATGGTCACAGTGTCACGTAAGCTTTGGAGGAACGCTGAGCTCTGTGTGCTGCTTTTCAATTCCAGGAGCTAAACTACAGGTATGCGTGGAAGAAAGGCATCATGGGCACCCAAAGCACCTTTGTGGATAGCATGATCTCTTGTCCCTAACACTCATGCATCAGACCAGCATGTGAAATGTGCTCACAGAAAGGAGATTTATGCCTGTTTTTTTCTTTTGATGGTGTTCTGTCTCATCTGTAATCTGCTGTAGGGAGGACCCCATCCGTATCTAAACTAAGATTGACTTGTTCAAAGTTTAGAGAGAAGGTTGAGATTGGGACGTTGCCTGGGCCCCTTAAATTTTACGCTTAATGAAATAATCAGACGGCCTGGGGCCAGTCATCTTGGTGGTCAAGACTGGTGGAGCCCATCTCTGTACCACGGGGCTCCCTGTCGCCTGCTGGACTTTGCCAGTTCAGTGTAGAAGTTCACGGTTGCGTGGAGGAAAGAGAACACACAGTCTAAGGCTAGCCCCTTACCTTCAAATAAGTGTAGCCCAGGTTGCAGCCCCTCAAACAAATGTTTTCACAGTCAAGACAAAAAAGGTCCAAGCTTTCTTTGTCTAGAGGTAAAGAAACTAGTGGCTGCCTAACCAGGATATTTCTAACTCGCACCCAGAACTCTTAATTCCTACAATTAATATTCCCTACATCAATCGTGAGTGCAGATGGTGTTTACTCACAAGCCTGCATTATGGGCCCTTTCTTCCCTTTGGGAAGACTTGTATTTCTTCAATGGCGGCTGCATTGCTTCCGTTGTTTGTTTTTAAATTTACATTTGCATTTGGGAAGAGAGAATCCGCACTTCAGGACGCATTGACACCTGTGGCTTGAAGTCAGCTGTGACACAATGCCACTCGATAGCCAGGCTCAGAGCTTCAGCTGAACTTACCCATACTGAACGACACCCACGAGAGGCCCGGCAGGGCCAACGTCAAGAGCCTGGACGACATCCGCTAAGAACTGCTTCTGGACTCGGAAGCGGCGCTTGCCAATGCTGGTGCTCCCGTCGATTAAGAAGGACAAGTCAACTTTGCAGTCTGAGGGACAGAAAAAGACGCTGTGACTCCGTTTGCCCTGAGTGCTCCTGCCTGGGCATCTTGTCTCTCTCAGTGTTCCCACCTAAGGCTTTCAGCTTTAGGGAGCTTCTAGACATCCTTCGTTCACCGCAGGCCCAGAGAATTCAGTGAGAAGAAGTGCCAGGAGGCAGAAGGAGCAGGCTACATTTCCCCGAGGACCAGGGTCCTGGATACTTGGGCTTGTTCTTGTTTCTACGCCTGCTTTAGAGTTCTGTGCATCTAGAGCTCTAGACCTCGCGAGGCAGCAACACCCAATGGGAAGAGCCCAAGATGGATTCTGTGCTCAGGCTACAGAAATGAAGACCCCTAGAAGCCGTGGAAAAGGCTCAAGGGGAAGGGTGTTGCTGAGAAAGCATAAGGAACAGAGTTGGGATCCCCAACACCCAAATTAAAAGCTGCATGTGGCTGCGTGCGTGCCTGCACCCCCAGAGCTGATGTGGCTGAGTGTGTGCCTGCACCCTGAATGCTCCTGTGTCTGTGTGCATGCTTGTACCCCGAGAGCTGATGTGGCTGAGTGCGGGCCTGCACCCCGAGAGCTGATGTGGCTGCGTGCGTGCCTGCACCCCGAGAGCTGACGTGGCTGCGTGCGTGCCTGCACCCCGAGAGCTGATGTGGCTGCGTGCGTGCCTGCACCCCGAGAGCTGATGTGGCTGAGTGCGTGCCTGTACCCCGAGAGCTGATGTGGCTGAGTGCGTGCCTGCACACCGAGAGCTGTATGTGGCTGCGTGTCTGCCTGCACCCCGAGTGCTCATGTGACTATGTGCATGCCTGCACCCCGAGAGCTGTATGTGGCTGTGTGCGTGCCTGCACCCCGAGTGCTGCATGGATAGAGACAGGATTGCTGGAGTCTGCTAGCCAGACATTTTATCCCGAACAGCAGTTTCCAGGCTCAGTGAGAGACCCGTCTGCCTGTCTAAGGCAATGAGGCGGAGAATGAGAGAGAAGGCTTATGACGTCACTTGCTGACCTCCACACACATGCACACGGGTGAATGCGCTTAAGCCCCTGTCCCGTACACACCCCCACACAGACAAGAAGTACAGACTCCCAGATGTGGGGATTTGCCATGAGCAAGTGTCAAGAGCTTGTGGTCTTTTATTCTCACCCTTTGTTGAAATACGTGGGGTGTAAAAGAACCCACGAGGCCAGAATGGGAGGGGTGGGGTGGGGATTATAGAGTACGCAATAGGTAGATTGTGCCTCACTTCCCTAGATGAAACAATGGGAAAATTATACACACCTATCCGTAAGACTTTGTTGGACCCCACCCCATTTCTAGTGTGAAAAGACTAGGTAGATAAATGCTCAAGATTAGAACATCTGACCTCTTCAAATAAGCCATGGTTCCTTTGTCCCCTGGGGTTGGGTTTCAAAAACAGAGGTTGCCTGAATCCCCAGGCAGAATCGAACCACATATACATTTTGTTTTCATATATGTACATATATATGCATATGTAATACACATATATTGGAAGTATCTAAGTGATATATTCACTGCTATGAATTAAATTATATATAGTTTATATAAACATATAATGTATGAATTAAACTATATATAGCATATTGTGAATATATAATATGAATTAAACCACATACATTTATATGTAAACTATATAGCAAGTTTAATTTATAAGTTACACACCGTAGGTGACTAACAATAACTAACAGCAAAGCAGAATAATTACAATATACTATATTCAAAACTTGGGCTTATTTATTTCTGGAACTTTCTATTTAATAATTTCAGATTGTGGTTGACAACGGGTAATCAAAGCTGTGGAAAAGAAAACCACGGGTAAGGCAGATCTGCTGTGGGAGATGGGAGGAATGGCGGGGTTGCAGGCTGAGCTCAACCCTTAGTGCTGCTCAGACTGACAAACCAGTGTGCTACTCTCTGCTGCCGTACTGACTGTGTTAAGACTGATTGCTCACCGCTGAGCTGGGGCCTTTACTTGGAGTCCATGCCCCTTAAGATTAATTTTAAAAAATGAAGAATGAATTACTGAATGGTCGCATTTGGGGAGACAAGAGTATTTTTTAAACCACTCTATGGAGAACCAGAAGAATAAAGAATTTTAATCTGGAGCATCCAAGAACACCTGGGGGCCAGTACCCCCTTGTGGTTGGGGGGAGAAACTGCACAGACAAGACTGCATGTTCTCTGTAATGAACGCACGGCTTCTTTGGGGCTGGCATTGCCTGCCTTCCGTTAACAAAGGCGCTATAGACAAAAAGGGGCTGCTGGAAACACCCCGTGCTTGTGAGCTAACAAGGTCTGAAGCAACATTGATTAGAAATCATTACTCATGAGGATTGATGCAGAATTGGTGGATGGGGAAAGGTTGAATCCGAGAATGTGCTGAAACGGCTGTGGAAACCAGAGGAGGTCTTGGGAAGACCGTAGGGACGCTTGTCTGCCTCTGCGACATCTATTTTGTGTCGTAATTCTTCAGCAAACCTCACAGCCTTTTTGCCCCTGGGCTGCAAGTGCCTTCTAGGCTTCCCTGTCCAGTTGGCTTTCTCCCATGCTGCCTATATCCAAGCGTTATCCTCGAGATGAAGATAGAAGGAAACGACGCAATCCAAATGTGGTTTAAAGACTTCGCTAAAGGCAGGGATGAAGCAGAAGACAGGCAGAATTGCTATAAGGTCTCCCCACATGGCCAACGGGTGTTTTTCTAGGTCTTGCCTTGCAATGTGAAGTATAGCCAGCAGGTGGCAGTAGAGTTCTTCAGCGCTTTTTGCAGAAAATATGGACTCCTGGGATCCACTCTAAGGTACGGAACCAGATTTGCCTTTAAATATGACCCCCGAGCTTGAGATGCACTCCTGAGCAAAGGTTTTCTTTCCAGGCGCCAGCAGATTAGCTCAATATTGCCTTTGAAGACAGGGAAATCGAGTCTAGGAAAGAATAACGGGGTCCCCCACCCCGCTCATTTATTTTCAACGAAAACAGTACGTGGATTTGGTAGCATCTGTCTTGGTCCCTCAAGGATTGTTCGTGCTCATTTCTCACATCTTGGACTGTGCTTCAGGATCAGCATGTTTGTTTTGACAGCAACAATGTTTATCGGATTAGTTCTCTTGAACCTCGGGCCTGATTGTTGACGGCTGATGTGGGAGTCACCTTTGTTACCTCTCCCAGAACTTCTATTTTTAAATCATTTGGTCATCACTGGGACCAAACACAAGTACTAGGCAACTGCTCTATTATTGAAGCAAAGGCCCCTGCTTCCAAACTCCCAGGATATCTTAATGACCATTACTTCCACCTCAAGGCACATACGGGCCTCTTCTAGGGATCAGTACTAAAAGGTAGCGACGTGTCACGGGGAACTCAGCATCAGCGTCTAGTCTATGGTGGTAGGAAAGGCTCAGGGTGAGGGAGGAAAGAGGGATGTAGTGTCTACAGGAATGAATGCATTGTTTCTTTCCTGCAGTACAGTCCCGCATGGTGCACTTCTACAGGTGAACTCACGCGCTGTGCTGTATAGTGCATCGGGTCTGTAGTTTGTAACTTTGGATAATATCAGAGGCACTCACAGCTCACAAGTGCGTATGCGGTTTGTAACTTTGGATAATATCAGAGGCACGCACAGCTCACAAGTGCGTATGCGGTTTCCACAAAATAGCCTGCGAGCCACTCTCGAGGGCCGCTAGTAGCTTCCGCTGTAGAATCAGTGGGTCTGGGGTCGGGGCTCTGCCCCTACATTTGTTCCAGGTTCCCAGGGCAGCTCGCTCATGCTATTGGTCCTCTGCCTGTACTGGGACTGGCAAGGTCTGATGAGAGCCTGGCACAATAGGTATTAGGCGAAAGATGGGCATCATTAGTCTAAAAAAATATCCGCAGGCGTTTCTTCCACCCCGCAGAACTGAGGCAGCCCACTGGCGGCAGCAGTCTTAGGAGGACTCGCCAGTGCTTGCTTTCGGTGTGTTGGAAGACACCAAGCTTCTCCGCGTTTCTTCTTTCTCCCAGTCCTGCTACCCCTGGCTGTCTTCTCCCCTGCCGAGCGTCGCTCATCACAAGTGGCTCCTCTATTTCTTTCTCAGTCTGGTCTACATCTCATTTTACAGCTTCATGATACGGTCTCTGCTTTGAACCACAGTTCATCTCCCAACAGGAAACCTTTTTCAGAATTTTAATCTCCATTTAACATTCCCTTTCTTTTTTAATTTGGTGAAGAATGACAGACTAACTACACTTACTGCCATCTTGTCCCCGGCTCTGAATTTCTGACTGGGATTGTCCTGCTCTATCCAAAGATCAGCTCTTGCTGTGGGGTTGAATATCTGTCTCACAGCAGATGACAGACACAAACAGTGTCCTGTCCCCAAGCCTGCTTCATCCCGTGTCTGTCACCTGGCTACCACCCATCCAGTTGCAGGAGTCACTTTTTAGTATAAATTCCATCTGTGTTTTCTTAGCGTGCGTGTGGGGGCACGCACATGCCCGGGCACACGTGTGTGGGTCAGAGGGTAACTTGTGGGAGCTGCTTTTCTCTTTCCACTGTGGATAGAGCCCAGGGTGTTAGACTTAGCAAAAGGTGCCTTTACCGGCTAAGTTGTCCCTAGAGCCCTGCTGATGTCATCTTCAACTGTCTTGTCTCTCACGCCCCACTCCAACCCTGTAGATTCTTCCTTTTGTATATTTCTTGGATCTGCCCATTCCTCTCATTTCTGGGTCTAACTCCAAGGCCTGGTTCCTATTACCTCCATGGTACCCCGCCCCTGCCCCCGCCCCCATCCCTGTAGATCAGTCTGACAATTCTTTCCATCCACCGTTGCTCCCATCCCTTCCCATTCTTCACCCTGTTGCCATAGAGACATGAGAAAGAAGCCACTTGATCCTCTCCCCTCACGCATATACTTCAAACCCTCCAGAAGTCCTCCATTCTCTTTAGAACAGTGTCAGAAGATAGGAGATCTGTGGTAGGAGACAGTGGGTCTGAGTGGAAGTGAGTTGGTAGGGGAGAGAGGGCGCTGATCGCAGGGTGAAACCATCCTGAGTTTCTAGCTGTGGGTTAACAACTCACTTGGATCTCCCTGGGACGCTGGCTCTGAAGACTGCGTGCTGAGTTCCTGTTTTGGCACAAACCCTGGAAAGAGAAGTTAGAGCTGTTGTGACTTCCAAGTGTAGCAGCACCTGGCCTGACCCCAGAGACGGGGACAGAGTGGACATTCATACCCAGCTCTGGGGCTTGGCTTGTAGATACCTCTTTTCCATATTGCTTCCCCCCCCCCCCCCCGAGAAAAATCAGTTCTGACAGCCTGCTCAAGGGTACTGTGCTGGATGTTCTGAGGACCTCGTTTTAACTCGTTCTAAGTCCTGGGTTATTTATGTGAAAACATCACACATGTGCCAGCGTAAAGCATCATCTCTAAGACTCTGAACATGTTGAGGTCGGGAAACGAGTCTGGCTCATCCAAACCTTTAGTACGCTCAGTACACGTAGGCCCTTGGCCAGATTTTGGTGATATAGGTAAAACCTTGCTTCCTCCCAAGAACAGGAACGCGTTGTTAGAGGGTCAGACATTTAATGTGGAAAAGTCAGGACACACGCCCATCGATGAGAATGGAAAAATCTCATACAGTTTTCTTTTTTTGTTTGTTTGTTTGTTTTGTAGACAGGGTCTTGCTTTAGAGCCTCCGCTGGCCTGGAGCTCACTATGTAGACCATCCTGGCGTCAAACTCACAAGAGATGCACCTGCTCAGCCTCCTGAGTGCTGGGACTAAAGGCTTGAGCCGCCACCACCAGGCAGCCCCTCTGAACGCCACTGTCAAAGGAGACTGAAGTGGGGCTCTACTGAGCACGCTGCCGGAAGCAGTGAGGGTCTCAACTCATCTCACAGTGAACTCACTTCCTCCAGCCCTTGTCTTCAGGTTTTCTCTCTCCCTTTTGAAGAACCAATGTTGCCCCAACCGTCCTAGGAAAGTTTGAATGGGCCCAAGCCTGGACCTGAAGATCCCCAGGAGGAAGCTTTTAAAAGCTGGACCACCTGGGCCCCCGGCTGGACTGTTAGGCCATCCATTCTCGCTCTCCAGTGCTGTGTGTCTCCATCTGCTCGGACTTGAGAGCTCATCTGGAAACTTACCTGAGTCTAAAAGGACCAGTCCAGGCTTCCACACATCCGTCTCTCCTGAATTTCGAGAAAAAGAAACACACTTACTAAGACCGAACCAGGATACCGTCTCAAGTGCAACGCGAGGATGTCGCTTCCCAGTGTCCCAGGCAGAGGGTTCCAGGTGGAAGACGGGACCAGGGTTTTGGAGGATGCAACATGAAATCCCTATGATGCTCCTCCCACGTGGAACTCTTAAAACCAAAGGCAGGTGCTTTATTCTCTCCGCACCAAGAGGCACAGACTACAAGGAACCCCGGGACTCCTGAAAAGCTCATCGCGTCAGAAACACCCCAACACGCTTCTGTATAGTCCCTGCTACATTAGTGGCGGGTGGGTCCTTGCATACTGCCCACCCAGACAAAGCAGTGTATGTTACCATTGTTTTAGACTACTGAGAACATGGAATTGTTTTCCTTGTAGCCATTGAAGTATTTTGAGCTAAACATTTTCCTCACCATTTAAGTCCATCTAGCCATCTTTCCACCCACCCACTCATCCATACTTGCTAACCATTCGATATTCGCCCAATGCCTCCTTAATTATGCCCCTTCCGCCCATTTGGGTTACTTTCCAAAGCTGACTCCTCCACCAGTTTCTGAGTTTCCTCTCCCGGTGTGCCTCAATTGGAGCAAAGAAGCACGGTGCTTGGGTTCTCTTCCGTGGAGTGGAAAGGGTGATGGAGAGGGGATGCTTATCCAATCAGCCCTCTTCCGAGTCGGGAATCTGTAAGGTTAGGAGGGGCTCAGGCAGGGGCTGTGTCAGAGACGGCTTATTCTCTGTTCCCCCGATCCCCTGCATGCCCTTCCCAAAGACCTTAAGGGCATGAACAGCTTTTGTCTTCTAAATGCTATCTGTCCTGCTGAGGCTGGAACTACTAAATCACTCAAATGAAGGGTATCTTTTTCTTCATGCAAAGAGGCCAGGGAATTTTAAAAAGGTTAAACATCCATGTGAGCCCTTTAGTGGTAAGACCTGGATTAATCTGGTTCTGGCACTGCTGACTTTGAGTGAGTCAGTAGCACCATCTGTGAGCTTTAACAGGGTTGGGTGGGATTGTCGCCACCACCAAGACCTTCATAGTGATCTTTAAATATTGTCGCTTTACCCTTATTACTCCAGTGCCACCTACTGGTGAAAATCAGCACTGCACTATGATCCTTTCTAAAACGATGCTTGTGGCTTCTGTTTTTTTCCCAAAGCACTTACAAAGCTGTTTTATTTTAAGCATTTAAAATTTCCCTCAGCATGTAGGCTAGAACGCTGAGAACATTATGGCTTTGGTGATCCCAGGTTCTTACTTTTGTCCCCAAAGCCTGTCCATCAATGCCACTTTCATTCCGCTGGGGACAAATCTGAACAAATTCCCATTCATTTAATAGCCAGGGCCTGAAAAATATTTGGACAGCTGAGACTTGGTGTATTTTGGACTTGGTGGTAATGAGGAGTAAGGATGAAAAAGGACATTTGTGTTCAGGTGTCAAGGAGGGACAGGGGGGCGTGGGAAGAAAGAAGTCAGAAAACCATCCCGGGCTGCCAAGAACAGGCCTCACACACCTTGTCCTCAGTTTACCCACAGCCTTCTCTTGGGGTGTCATGAGGAATTCTCCTGCCCCGACTCACCCGGGGGAGACGCAGAGGAGATACGTGTGCACACAGTCTCTCTGAAAAGTGTAAGGCACTCAACAGAGCAGGAGCCTGCTTTGGTGACAGTTTATGGTTGGCCATCTCACAGCATTAGATCTCAGGGCAGGATTATGATCTGAGAGAATTCAAGTGGGACGAACACTCGGGAACCGTTAACATTCACCCGGAGGGCCCTCAGAGGCAGTTAGAAGCACTCTAAAAGTAGTTACGTCACATTGAGCCTGAATTAGGGACAGCTTTGACCCCATTTTGCAATGAGAAAACTGGGACACACAGAAAAAATTGCCTTGGTTCAACTTTGAGACTGAACTTACCCTCCCTTTGTACACCCCTTTACCCATCCATCCATCCATGCATCCATCCACCCATCCATCCATGCATATATACATCAGTATATCCATTAATTCATCTATCTATCTGTCTGTCTGTCTATCCATCCATCCATCCATCCTTTCAACCATCTATCAATCATTCTATTAATCCATCTATCTACTCATTCAAACATCCATCCATGTGACTACGCCACAGAAAAGCTTGTCCTGGCACTGTCACCCGTAACTAACTCCTGCTAATGTGGCTAAGTCTTCTAAAGGACCTGGGATGATGACCCCTGCCTCTCTGACTCAATGGGGGTACTGAAGCAGCTTTCAGAGCCTTCTGTTCTCCTGCACATCTGGAAGCCACTAGCATAAGACCCAAGAGGGAGCTGCAACATATAGCCATCAGGGCTATAAAGGTTTATAGGCCTGAAGCCCAGGTGTCCAGATGGCCCCCAAGTTCCTCCCTGGTGAGTCCCTGTTGCAGTTTGGAGGAGGTAGTAGAAGTCTGACAGTGTAGCAGGCCTCCAGAGCTAGGGATGCTAGTAGCCTCCTGTCCCCTTTCCTGATTGCATGTCCGCAGGGCAAGAAGGCAGCACACTTTCCTTAGACTTCCTCTGCTGCACCCACACAGGAAGTGCTAAGAGGCCAGAGGCCAGCATCTGTGCCCAAGGCATTGTATGCCAGCAGCCTATTGCACAGGCTTTTTCAGAAACCACTCGGGACATTTTCTAGCCCAGGGCATGAGCCCGTGCCAGCAAAGCATGAATGGTCCCAGGTTTACAAACGGGATGCCCTCCAACACACAAGGTGAGATATTTATTTGGGACCTAGAAACCATTTTTTTTTTCATGGAAACACTAATTCTGTGCTTAGGTTTCCAGGCCAGAGAAGCTGAGTTGAATCAAACTGAGCCCCTGGGGCCATGCTTGATATTCTGACCTGGGTACACATACTCAGTATGCATAGACAGGATCCAGGTGACCTGCTTCTTCTAGGAGCAGTAGAACAAAAGACTAGCGGGACTCAAGCAGGCTCAGTAGGAGAGGAGTCAACTGTGGGGCAGAGCTAGCCCGGTTGGAGCCGGCACCATTTTCAAAGGAGCAGTGATTCTCAGACACAAGCCTTGTGTTCTGTTCTGGGTGCAGTGCTCCGCCACGTACTGCCAAGTGACAGAGGGACCTGTTGGAGGAACTGGCCCCAGAAATCATGAGACGTTAAGTTGAGGTTCACAGACTTGAAAGTGTCTCTCCGGGTTGGGAGACACTTGGAAGCTCAGCTTTTCTCTGGTTACTGCAGACCTCAAAGAGTTTTTGTATGGGTGGGGAGCCATTGCTCGGGAGGGCCTTAGAGCCGATGCAAGTCTTGTAATTCCAGGGTCTGACAGTTTTGTGGCTGAGGAACCGGGCAGCTTACTTCACATGTATGCGTCTGCTGGGGGTGAGAGCTGCTTGGAGACCTAACATCCCCGGATGCACTTACCTGCCTTTACTCAGTGTGCACAGATAGTGGTCGTGTGCCCCGCCCGCCTCCCTGAAGGATCTTTTGTGAGATTCCATGGCTATCCATCTCTGTGAATCTTTGGGTTGGGAGTGTGACCCCAGGCAAGGACATGCTGAGAATCTCTGGGAGGGTCTGAATAGCCCTGGACAGTTGTGGGGGGGGTGATGGCATTCTGATTTCATTTCTGTTGCTATGATACAACACTCTAACCAAACAACTCTTGGGAGGAAAGCGTTCATTTATCTTATGCTTTCTAGTTACAGACTATCATTGAGGGAAGTCAGGGCAGGAACTCAAGTAGGAACTTGAAGGCAAACAGTAAGAAAGGATGGTTCTTCTAGGCTCATTCATTTATCTTATGCTTTCTAGTTACAGACTATCATTGAGGGAAGTCAGGGCAGGAACTCAAGTAGGAACTTGAAGGCAAACAGTAAGAAAGGATGGTTCTTCTAGGCTCATGCTTAGCTAGCATTTTTATGGCCCAGGACTACAAGACTAAGGGAATGGTGCCGCCTATGGTAGGCAGGGACCTCCTACATCAATTAAAAACCAAGACAGCCCTCTACAGACAAGCTCACAGGTCATCTGACCCAGGCGCTCCTTAGGCTGAGATTCTCAGAGGAGTCCAGGCTGGGCTAAGCTGACAGTCAAAGCTAACTAGGGTAACTGGTGAGAAGGAGGAGAGCCGCAGAAACGGACAGAGCGTGGGGGTAGAAGGAAGCTAAAGACATTTTGTGGGTACAAGCCTCAGAAACGCGAAGGAGACTGGAGAGGAAGCAGAGACGGGTGGAGCAAAAGAACTAGAAGACGACTTGGCTAGAAAGAAGACTAAGTGCATTCAGTAGAACAGAGCCTCAAAGCAACCCAAAGGCGGCCGGGCAGCGAAACAAATGGAAGTCTGAGACCGAGAGCATGGCCTCGCTGCCGCCCACCCCCAGTCATGCCTGACTCACGCAGTGCGCCTTGGTATTTGCACTTTATCCGAGAGTCCAGCCTGGGGAGACTGCTGAGGTGGGGAATCTCTGGAGGGGACATAAGGTAACAGAAGCCCTTGGGCCTCCGACTTGATTAAAGCTTTGATTTTTTTGTCTTATCAAGTACAAACAAAACAATGATATTCTTTGAAGGTCAACATGGCTTGATACCCAAACTCTGATGACCCGGATGTGAACTGGAGAAACCAAGCGTGACCGTGGAAGCACATTGCTAGGATGCAAAACGAGAAACAGCAAGCGGCTTGCCCAGACTGGTACCTGCTCCTGAAGCCTTCTAGTAGGCATCTCTGGAACCCTGCCTCTGGGCACCCGTGGGGATTCTACAGGCTCAGCAGATCTACACAGCCAGCAGCTACTTTCTTCTTTTATTTTGTGCCCTGCTGAGAACGGCTCTGTTCAGACAGTTTCTGCAGACTGTGGTTGGCCCCACCACTGGAGGCCGCAGAGGAGGCAGAAATCTGGGCCAGCGGAACAAGAGGAGAGAACGGCCCATGGCTTGGCCAGTTCTGGATGAGCAGTTCCTGGAAACCCAGTTAATCGTGATGGGGAGGTGGGA